ATTCTGCAGGACAAAGTGACTGTCCATCTGGGTCAGACGCAGAGGCACCCTGACCAGACCCTGAAGCTCTGGGAGCTTCTCACTCCAACAGTCTTGGAAGTTCCTACAAAATCATGTTTCATCTGACTTTGTGACTTTCTGAGTCTTGTGAGTGTAGGGTCGCACCCCCTAACACATCTTTCCCAAAACCTGGGCGATGTGCCTTGGACATTGGGATAAGAGACTCCACCAGTCCTGCTTGTCATTTCACATTTAATTAAACCAAATTTAAAAACGGGTTCTAAATGATCTGTCCTAAAGGCCTCCCCCTCAGCTTGTCTTGGAGGTAATCTTTAAAAGCTCCACAGTGAGCTCCAGCCCACCAGCCTCGTTCAATTATCCACTCAAATCCGGCCACAGTCCTCTCATAATGGCCGTCTCTGGCCCCAATTCGAAACTTTCAATTTTGACGTTCTTGCAGACCTAGACAACTTTCTCAAACAAACTGCAAAGGGTCTGAGCCCCTCCCTCCCCATGCAAACACCCCACCACGACCATCCCCACCCCCTGTTGTTTTAACCCTTCTCATCCCTGCCGCTCAGCTCCTGCTTACAACCAAGCCCAGAGCCTGAACTTAATGCGGCTTGAAAAGAAAAAACAGACAGAAAATAAAAGCGACCCTGATCCTAATGCCCTCTGCTTCTGCTGGGTCTCCAGGCATGCTTTTCCTAACCGAGATAGGTGGCCTTTTTGGTCTTGGGCCTTTTTTTACCTTACGGCTTTGGACGGTCTTTGTTTCTGCCTCTCCAAGCTTAGATACTCTGGCTGCTGCTTTTATTTCTACTTTTCAATTCCTAGTTAGGGTTTTCAGGTTGTCTGCCGCCATCTGCGGATGCATACAAACTGGCTATGAATATGTAGATCACCGGGTTCCATCTCACAGGGATTCAAATATCTTTGGGATGTGGATAATATATAAAAAAAAAAATGGCCACAGGCTGCTTTACTTCAGTAAAAAGGTTGGCTCTGGAGATGGGATTCAGCCTGCTTGCCTCAGACCCAAGCATATTTATCTCAAAGTCTCTTCCAAAACCTCTGTCCTGGGTCACCCTGGTCTCCTGACTCTGTGACAGAGAGAAGAAAGACAATGAAACAGCCCAGAGAAAAAGACATTATGTGTTTAAACACAGCTAAGAGGCAAACGATTTTTCATAGAGACTGCTGTTGTGTCTCTTGTCCTATAAAAGGCTCTATAATAAAAGCTATCAGGATGTTCATACATGGAAAGGATAAAAGGACGCTCTGTCCAAAATCTCTCAGTAATGACTCCAGCATCATGGTTTTAACAGAGTCCCATCAGCTAAGTTCTGTTAGATGATGTAAACATGAATTCAATGATGATCCTGACACTCTACATGTTACATAGGTTATAAAGACTGTCTTAAGTTTTCTCTAAGTTTTACCTGGGAACTTACAAGGCCTAATCGTTTCCCAGTATGTACACAGTAATACTAATTTGTTACATCACTCTACATGTCATTTGGATCCAACCATCTCTTAATTAGGTGATGTTGCACAATACCTTTAAAGCTAAAACAACGGACATTTTTAGAACTCCATCTGTGCCTGCTTAAAACAATTACAGCTGGACTTGGCCAGTGTTAATATGCCTTCAAATAAGGAAGAGATTGACAATGACTTTGGCCCTTCACCTGAGTATCCAGTCACTTCTCCCAGCTGGTTGTATACAATTAGGTCTTTGTTATAATAGACCTCAAGGTTTTCTGTGTGTACAGGCTAAAAATTAAAAATGGGGAGGAGACCCACCTATCCAGCAATAAAGAGCTGTTATATATACTGAATGAAGGCCCCAAATATTATCTAATACCTCACCTTAAAAAATTCTTACAACAAATGATGAGTTTATTACTGCTATAGCTCAAGAGAATCAAGAGACGTTTATATATAAAAGTCAAAATGGACAAATGTAATTATGGGTGTCATTTCTCTAAGTATTTCTCTCCCTTTCTTGGCTCTCATTTACAAAAACTGCCCCCCTCAAAACCATTTCAGGGGATGGGGCTCACAAAGACTGTGAAATTTGCCTTAAAGGTGCGTGTCTAATCACTTATGGCTTTGCCAACTTTGTTAACTTCGCTATTAAAAAAAAAAAAACCCCTGAATCTTATAAAAAAAAAAACTGTGATGTTTCATAAACACACACACACACACACACAGGTTCCCAGTCTCTCTGTGGACTGTATCTACAGTTTTTGATACTAAAAGATCATCAATGAAAAGTTGTAATTTTTAAGGCTCAAACTTAACCAGGATAAAATGATAAAATCCTAATCTTAAAAAAGTTACTATTACTTATTGTAAGCTGTTAAAGATAATTAAGATATGCAAGTTAATGGTCAGTCACCTTATAAATGATCAAATTCTTTAATGTGCTCAAAATTGTGTTTGTAGCCATGCTAACTACAAATATGATTCATTTACAGGGAGAAGCCAATTTATGTCTCCCATTATACAGTCCCCTGTATATATTGTCAAAGTTAAGCCTAAAGCCTAAAGTAACTCAAACAAATTTAAAGTAAACATAAAGTATGTTTAATGTAAAATAATATTCAAAGTCAGGTATATTTAAAAAAACTAGTTATGAAAAGTTAAATGTTTGAGTCAAATGGGCTAAATTTACAATACATTTGCATGGCGGGATGTCTCCAGGCCCAAGTAGTACCCATTTCCTTGCATTGGATATGGCCCCACCAGACTGAATTGCATACTAGCCTCATTACAGGATAAGGATGTATGGGACAGTAAGAACCACCAGAGTCTGTGGCTCCTCTCTGTCCTGACCATGTAGATCAGTTGGCCACCCCCTTTACCCTGGCTATCAACTCTTCTCTTAATGGAAGCTAAGTCCAGGGTCCACACCCTAACTGTAAATGTTCCCTGATCACAGGAGGTTGCTAGATACCATGTCATCAAACTCATCATTTGGGGTATTAATTCAAACTATCCAAGTGGTGTCTGAAACTTTGCTAGAGAATCCTTTAAAAATGACTCAGTAGGAGCCGGACAATGGTGGCGCACGTCTTTAATCCCAGCACTTGGGAGGCAGAGTCAGGCGGATCTTTGTGAGTTCGAGGCCAGCCTGGTCTACAGAGTGAGATCCAGGAAAGGTGCAAAGCTACACAGAGAAACCCTGTCTCAAAAAAAACAATAAAAACAAAAAATGACTCAATAGGGCTCTATTTCTCTTCTGAATTGACGATTAGATGCTGAACTTAACTGACTCCTTTTACAAAGCTTCCAGGTACTTGCTCCTTGGGTGGGAGTCTAATGCAACAAACTGCTTATTATAGTTACTTGATCTTTCTACAGAGCTCTGGTACATGGTCCAGCCGGTTGTACGATGGTATCGAACCTTACCAAACAAAGCTCACATTAACTTTGTCTCTTAACGTTCCCCACAAAGTTGCACAGTTATTGCCTCCTGACTCACGTTCTAGATCGTTTGCCATCTGTTAAGTTTTGTAGAGACCCCTCAGATGGACCCTCCTCTGAGGCACTCTAAACTGCGGCCAATTCTACAGCTTCCCTTCTGTCAGCTCAGAAAGAAATCCCTGCTCTAAAGCCCTAAAAGAGTTCTGGTGACTGCTGAAGTGGTGTGACACCAACCCAGACCCTCTTACTATGACCCTAGTGAGCCCCACCCCACTATCCCCCAGCACGAATCTCCACAGAGAATTCTCTTGACTGCACCCCAAGCTGAGCTCACACCTCTCACCAGAGTCCCACACATTCCTTTCACCTGCTTGCCTTACACCCTGTTTGAGAGGCACCCACATCTTCTTTTTTTAGGGGCAGGGCTTGAACCCTTATTTTTTTTTTGGAACATATTTCCTAGTAGCTTTCTGAGAAAGGAAAGGGGGATTTTTTTGGGGGTGGGGTGGGGTGGCTCCAGACACATGTCTAATGAGATGCCACTTATCTGGGCATTCACCACTTTGTTGAGGCACACCGTCCCTATTGTAGTCAGGAATCAGCGCTCGCCCTTTCTCCTGCCTAAGAAGCAGAGTGATCCCACTACGGTATGTTTTTCTTACCTCCTCGATTATAGTAATGAACATTCTTTTGCTCTGGAAAGACTTTCATGTGGCACATTATGCTTTTCAAGCCTTTGGCTTTGATATTTTTACCTTGCAAATTCCATCAGGCAACAGCCGTCATTCAAGGCTGGTCCCATTTCATGTTTTTTCCTGCCCCTGTCTCAAATTCTGCACACAGCACCCGGCTCCCCACAACTGAGCATCAGAATGATAACATCTTTAAAGACAATACTCAAGGCTGACTTTGCTCATGGGGTGGCTTCTAGAATGTGTTCAGGTGAGACAGAGGACTTTCTTTTCTCTAGTTCCTGATTCGTGCCCCCCTAATTCTTCTAAGGCTTACCAGGAAGGGCTGAGACTCAACAACAGCCCGAGGGTTTCCTACCAAAAACTTCCACAATCCCGTCTCATGAATAATCTTTGTGTAACGTCTTGAAAGGAAATCTGTGAAGATGACAGAGGAGCGGGGAGAGTGTAGGAAGAGGAGGAAGGGGGCAGGGAGTAACCTGGAGCCAACTGCTTGAAAAGTAAAATTTCAAAATGTAAGCATTCACTCAAGATAGCATGCTCCAAAGCCAGTCAAAGGAATCCTAATGCATTTCAAAGGAAACAATTTTTATCTATCTATCTATCTATCTATCTATCTATCTATCTATCTATCTATCTATCTATCTATCTATCTTCCTATCTATTTTGAGAGAAGGTCTTGCTATGTAGCTCAAGCTTGCCTGGAACTCATATAGCATAAATTGGCCTTGAATACACAGCAACCCTTTTGCCTCAAATACGAGGACTATAGGTGTGAATCTATGCTCAGCTCAAAAAACTTTTAAGAAGCAAAGAAAAGAGGGGCTGAAGAAACGGAGAGCCCAGTTGTTAAAACACTTGCCTCATGAATGCCAAGGCCTGTGTCTGACACACTGAATCCCTGTAAAATGGTGGGTGTGGTGGTGCACGCTTGTAAGCCCAGTGTTGGGGAGGTAGAGGCAGGATCCTTGGGGCCCACTGCTCAGCCAGCTTAACCTGATCCGCTAGCTGCAGGCCAATGGATAGACCCTGTCTCAAAAGAAATGGCTAGTGTTTGTAAAGATGATATTCAAGGTGACAGCTGATTACCACATGCACTTGTAAGTGAACACACATTTGCACTATTGAGTGCATGCATGTGTGTACGCACACACACACAAATAAAATAAAGAATAATAATTTTTTTAAAAAGCAGAATTAAGAAAAGAAATTCTCTGCATTGCAGGAAGTTCTTCCTAGGTCGGTGCTCTTCATCGACTGAGTGAAGCTAGGAGGATATGGGTCAGCCAGAAGACTTCAAAGTGCCATTGTTGTTAGCGGTCCTTAGGGACTATTTCAGTGTTAAATTGCCAAAGAACTTTGTACCATTTCCTGTGATTTCCAGGGAGCGGAAAAAGCCAGACAGACAACGGATTCTTTGGAAGAATTTGTTTCTATACCCTTCAAGGCTGGTGTTCTACTGAGGACAGCTAAAGACCTGTCTTTTACCCAGCCAGTCCTGAGTTAGGAATCCCCAGAATGCATATAAAAAGCTATAATCCCAATTCTGGGACGGGGGCAGAGGTAGGGGGATCCCTGGTGTTTGCTGCCATCCAGCCTAGACAAATAGGTGGACTCCAATGAGCCCTAATAACCACCTCATCATGTCCCCATGTGTCCCAGTGCAGCTCCCTGCCTAAACAGTGAACGCCCCCTTTCCACAAGTATTTGGCCTTCCCTCTCCATGGGTTCTATTTCTTATTTTTCTTCTTGGTCTCTAGGGCTCTCCTGGCTCTGCATCCACCCTCCCCAATGTGCTTTCCGTTCTAAACCACCCTGGGCCTCTGACCAGGCCTTGGGAATAGAACTGTTCAAATCAGCATTGGGCTGGTGCCAGCTGGGTATTGGTGAAGGTGGTTGCACGGCCTATGAAGGTGAAGGTCCATATGGCTCCTCCCTTTTCTCTGCTCCCCTGGATCCACTCCAGAGAGAGCTTGGTTGTGGCTTGAATATACAATGTGGAGGTTTTCCTCACTCCATGTGTCAGCAATGTTTCTGAGCCATGACAGGGAACTTTGGTTTTTAGGGGGCTGACCACACAGAGGTGTTCAGCATCTTACTCACTTCTACCAAGTGGCAGCCCTATGGCTCTCCCAAAGGCGCCTTACGGAGAGTCCACCATAGAGCCAGCTCTGTCTGTATACCATGCTCTCTGAACACCGTCTGCCTCACCATGAACCACTGGCTCCAGTGCATTCTGGGGTCTCCCGACTCCTGTCCACACACAAGCATGCAAACGGTCCACCGGCTTGTAAACATACACCCTCTGCTTGTCCAGGAGGTTTCCGGTAGAGCAATCAACTCCACTGCACCCTGGCCAAGACAGAAGAGAGGGTGCCTCCATGACCAGGGTCACCAGCAATCAGGTTTCTTGACTCCCCTCTGTGGACCCAAGGAGACAATCCCAAAAGACCACAGTCAGAAATCGGCACATTTCCCAGGGTCTGGCTGCCTAGGTCCCATGGCCATCTGATTACATACTTTATCTCATTACAAAGCTAAATTAGCCATGCTACCAGCCAGCCTAAGACTCTACTTTTCTGTTGATGGAAAGTCTGCAGTTTTACATTAATTATAAGGAGGACTGTAGGTTGCTTATGACGGGTTTTGCCCCAAAATAAAAGTTTGGGAACAACTTATGCCTCCAAAAATGAGGGATGAGGTGGGGGTAGCTCTCAACAATGGGTGCTTTCACTTGATGCATCAAAATCCATTTTCTCCGTTTCTTTTGAATTTGGTCTTTAACTAAAAAGAAGTAAATTGACAAAGTTAATGGATAGAATTGAGAAGAAATTTGAAATTTCCCACTAAAATTAGGGGGGTGGTATCTTTGAATGAATCAATTTAAATTACGCATGCTTACATAAACCTACTTTCAGGCAAGTATATAAATGTGCTCTTGGCGTATTTCAGCCATACCCCGCTCCCCTCCCCTCTGCTCACCCCTTTCCTTTCCCACAATCCTCTTTGTTCCCCGATGGCTTTGTATCTACTTTCATGTCATTGGTATTTTTATGATAACATATTCTATAATATACGGGACTTACACATGAGAGGAAGCATGCAGCATTTGTCTTTCTGAAGGGCAGGTCTTCCTAAGGTTCCTGATTCCTTGATTTCATACATGAAAGGAAAATTCCAGGATTCGGAAGCTGGAGAGATGATCAGAGCCGATCATGTATTCTGATAGTGATTAAAAATGACTATAGTTTAATTTCATTCTGCATCAAAGGACATGTGTTCTACTGATATCTACTTGTAATGACCTATTTTAAAATGAATTAGGTTTGTTCTTTGACAATTCACGCATGCATATAATGCATTTTGATTATTTTCTCTTCTTCCCCTCCCATGTACTTCCCATCTTTATTACCCTTCCCTCCTCCCGCCATACTTCCATTCACGACTTTATAGTTGGTTTTCTGACCCACTAAGTCTAACTAAGACCACTTGTGTGTCCATTGGATTGGAACCATCCATTGGAGTCTGGTGGAGCTACTAGTGGGAACAGCTGAAGGCAGTGACTGCCCCTCCCTGAATCTATCAGTAGCAACCAGTTTAGCAGGGAGGGTTAGGCCCCTTTGAGCCCATCCTCCATCAGGCCAGTCTATGGATGGGCCTGTTCTTGCACCTACCCAGTGCAGGTATCTTAGCTGCCAAGTTCATGACTGCAATGATCGTGTTTTGCCCAGAAGATGGCATTTTCCACCCTTCTCCTACCTTCTCTAGCTCTTGTGTTCTTTCCTTCCCTTTCCTCTCTGAGGTTCCCTGTGCTTAGAGGAGATGGTATAGATGTCCTGTTCAGTGCTAAGCATTCATCTGCCAGTTAGTCTCAGTGCCTTATTGCAGGCATGCAATTCACTCTACATTCACTCCCATCCCCTGGAAAGGGAGGCGTCTCTAAGACCAAGAGTAGCACTTGCCCATGTGTTTAAACACAAACATTGACAAAGCAGTTTGACACTATGTCAACTTATCTAAGCAATAGTATTCAGGTCCCCACTAGGGACCACGTTCTCCCCAGTCACAGTATCAAGCATGAATTCCCTCCTGTGGAGCGGGTCTCGAAGCTACTCAGAGTAGTTTTTACCCCCATAATAATTGTGCCACTATTGCCATGCATCACTGAACATTCGAGGAATTAACTAGAATTCTAAGTCTACCAACTAAGGAAAAATTGGATGATATAAGATGACTTAGTTCCAAAGAACTAAGCTTGATGTTGAAGCAAAATCGTAATAGCATTTTCTGTGGTGCTAATGTACACAGAGGAATTGTTTAAGATAATTGTATTTACTAAGAATGTGGAGAGTTTAAAGACACTTAAACGGAGATAATATTTCTGTTTCACTTGAAGTGGTAGCACCTGTAGCCTGTAACAATTGTATAAGCATATTTTAATATCTGAAGTAACCACCAAGGAAAGCATACAAAGAGAGTCACAATAGTTCAGATAGATAAAAATGGAGTTCCACTGTCTTAGCGTTAAGGGAGTCAGGATTTAGTTTTGCTCTAGGTTTCAGAGATTCCAGGCCACAGTCCTCACCTGTGCTGATTCTGGGCCCATGGTGAGACAACACATCCTGACAAAGGGACATGTGGCAGGAATGACTGACCTCATGACAGTCAGGAAGCAGGAAAGAGAACACAGAAAGGAGCCAGCACAAGAGAAAGCCCCCATGACATATTTCCAGTGGTCTGCTTCTTTCAGCTAGTCTCCGCCTCCTACTCTTGGTTGCTTTCAATAATGCTATTGTATTATGACCCTATTAAGGCATTAATCAACTGACTATATCAAACCCCTCAGGACTCCATCATTTCCCAGAAGCTTATCAGCTGGTAACCAAGTCCCCAGTATATGAGCCTATGGGGGACATTTCCTATGCAACCCCAAATCTCTCTGAAGTGTTTAACCTGAAAGAAAACAAAGACATGAGAACAGAAACAAGACACAGAAGGAGAGGCTGGAGAGACGGCTCAGCAGTTAGAGGGTAATCTTCCAGAGGACCCAGGTTCTGTTCCCAGCACCCACATCTGGTAGCTCACAGCTGCCTGTAATTCCAGTTCCTGTGGATCTGATGCCTTCTTCTGACCTCCCAGGTACCTGCCTGCATGTGGTGTACACACAGACATTTGGGCACACACACGTACACATAAACAAGAATAAAAATAAATGCATCTCTGAAAAACGCTTTTAAAAAAAGAACATAGGGAAGGAAGAAGAAAGAAAAGAAACTGGCAGGCTTAGGTCCTTACACACAATAATTACATTAAATGTAAGTGATCCAAATTCACTAAAAGATCAGCAGAGCCAACTATATGCTGTGTATAAGAAACTTATTTGAAATGAAATGGTATAGGTAGTTTAAAAGTGAAAGGACAGGCAGAAAGATAGCCATGGTGGGGAATTAGAGAGGAAGATGAAGCTGCATGCTAAGTCACAAAATCAGAGCTGACATTAAGTTCTGAATCAGAGTCAGAGGAGCCATTCAGAGCTCCTACTAAGGAATGGGTGTTTGACACACTGTATCCAGCGGCCAGCATTGTCCAGACAACACGTTCATGCTGTTATTTCATTGATAAGGAGCTGTCATTCCAATTGACCCAAGACTGTCCCTAGACCAGAGAGCCAGTAATGAAGAGATCAAAAGCAGCCGCCGAACACCGTCAGATCTTTTTCTATTTCAGGCAAAGCTCACTTAAAGGTTGAGATGGTGGATTCCTAGACTGGCTCCATCTTGGAATAGGAAGCTTGAGACTTAATCTCATCTCTTGCCTTCCTTGCCCCAGTGTTCATAGCCACAGGAAATCCTAAATATCACATGGTTCTAAGGACCTTTTTGTCTACAATTTTTACATGGAAACACTACTATGCTTTTATCTTTGAAAATAATTGACTTTGGGAATATTTACAGACAAAATGGCATGATGCCTGAGTTTTCTTTGAAATAATACAATGTCTATGGGTGTGTGGGGATTTGGGGGATAGATGAAACAAGATTATCCATGGTTGAATACTTGTGGGAAGCTGTGAATGAGTGTACGTGGGCCCATGCATCCAGGCTTTCTACAGTCGAGTATATTTGAAAGCTTCTGTAATAAAATGTTTCTGAAAACATAGTCCCCAAAGATAACCTAGAAAGGAAACAGAAGTCACATGAAAGGCTTGGCCAGCTTCCCACAAGGCTAGGCAGGGCTTGGGGAAGGATGCTGAGCTTGGGCTATCAAGGTGTGAATGAGTCTGAGGGTTGCTGGGCATGGACCAGCAGTTTTCCTATTGCTTTATGGCTCATCCTCCAAGGACTGGGTGCTGGAATTCCAAAGTCAGGCAAAGGGAATCCCTCCAAGAGACCTCTCTCTGAGGAGGTGGCAACCTCAGGAGGGTACCTCATGCCAAGAGGATATAGCAAGGCAGATGCCTATTCTATGTGGGGCTGTGTGCTGTCAGTTTTGTCTTCCTCCGGCCCATCTTGCCTTGACTCCACTTGGCGCTGGTAATCAAATCTGTTCACATTCTACTTTCGTTCCATCTGTTTTCCAAAGATGTGCTAGGATGTTCTTTCCCAGATGTTTATAAAGCATCTGTCTTTCAAAGTTCTTTAAAACAACGATTCCTGAGACACCGTCTCATCAAAAGCGTTCTTCCTAACGATGTCGATCAAGGGTATCAGGTTCCACCTCTGATCCTTCCTCACGCGTTCTCCATCACATTCCCTGGCCCATTTGCTTTTCGACAGTGTAAAAACACAAGCCCCCGTTTATTAATGGAATCTGGCTCTGATATTGTAATCTGGCACGCCCAGTCTGTGCTGAGGCTAACGGTCGCCAGCAAGCAGGAACCACAGTACTGGCTCTTGAACGCTCTGTGTGGTGGTTTGAGGAGATGCTGCTGGTGGACTTCTAACGGATGCTTCTGGGGAGCAGAGCCACTCCGGTCAGCGGACAGGTGAGAGGGGTGAGGTATGTACGTAATGTGTCCTGACCTGTACCTCGATTTCCAACTCCCCATTCAAGGAGGCTCCTCACTTAGACTCCTAATGTCCCCTGCGCTTTTCTCTCTCAAAAGAAATACCACTGGGGCTCTCCTCTGGGATGGAGCAGCATCCACTTGAGTGCCTGTGGCTCAGTGGGTTACACCATGTCGATTCCCATTTGTGTACCAATCCTTGGTCCTGAGGGTAAGTACTGTAGGCATTTGGGCACCTTTGGAGCCAACAGAGAAGAGAGATTTTTCAAAATGAGGGCTGTCTCCAGGGCCTTTCCCATCAGCCTGTGTAAGCTGCTGCAAGGATCTGGGTTCAAGTTATAAACCAGCCAGTGTCCTGGGACACATGGTCTGAGGCTGGTAAAGGAAAGAATCCTGGGGAGTGTGTATGTGTGTGTGGGGGAGGTTTCTTACACACTTACAAGGCATTTGGAGCCTCTAGATGACTGGATGATCATTGCAGCACACAGCTGGACTTGCTTGTGGGGCCTGCTGTGCTGGGGCCTTCCACATCAGGGTTTTCCGTCAGGTGGGCCCCGCAGCAGGGAAGACAGGATAGAACCCTTCCAGGTAACTTTGGACCGTTCTGAGCACGCGCTGGGAATTTGGATCCAGTGCCCACGTACAATACCTCGGTGATGTTGTTTGGAAAGGATACATTCTTATCCTGAGTGCCCTAGCTGAATCCCCTTCGAGACAGCCACACATGCCCAGAGGATCAGCCCTCTCTCCCTCCCCGGTTTTGACTTCCTGGCGTCAGTCAAGGTTTTCGCTGGCCTTGAGGCCTTGGCCTTGGGCCCAGAAAACATCATTGTGGACAGTCCAGACCCAAGGGTGATGGCCCAGATAATTTGACAATTGAGGCCCAAATGTCAGTTTCCAAAACCAGAGAGATTTCTGTGTAGCTTGACATATCATTAAAGCCAGACAGAGAAGCCCGACATGGCCTCTTCGCTGCCTCTTTAAACGACGCGAAATGCTCGTCCACATCTAATTACACTCAAGAAATGTGACAACTGTAATTTTAGACATCAAATGTCCACGGGGGGAATAAAGGTTAAATCTTACGGACTCCATTCATCAATAAGTAATGTACAATTAAGCATTTTAAAGTGAAATCTTGTTCCCTGCATTAAAATTTTCCCCCTAGCTCACGGGCGTAAGTTTCGATAGCACTGTCTTAATTTACATACAGCATCAGACCTCCCTCACCAGCAGTTCCATGAGTTTTTACATATGCTTAGTCTTGGAACCATCACCACAGGCAGTTTTCTGGATAATTCTGATCTCCCCAGGGAGTCCTTCCTGCTGTTCCTTTGTAGCTAACCCTCCCCCTGCATTTAACCCCTGGCGGCCCCTTGTCTGTTCTCATCACTTTAGCTTTTATTTCTTCAGAGTGTCATACAAATGGAACCTCACTGTATTAGTGACTTTTCTTGTGGTGACCGAGTGCCCAGTGATACACACCCTAAGGGAGGGAGAGTTTATTTGGGCCTACCGTTTAAGGGTGAAGCCCACCATGGTAGGGTAGCCTGTGTGGCAGGAAGTCTGTGTCCACGGTCAAGGAAGCAGAGCAAAGAAGGTGTGTGTTCAGCTCCCTTGCTCTGAGGGGTCCCAGGGAATAGTACCACCAACATTAGGGTGAGTCATCCCACATCAGTAAATCTCTATATTCTCTCCCAGATACAGCAAGTAAAAGTCCAAGGAGATTTGTTTCAGTGTTCATTCTGGATCTGTTAAATTGACAATCAAGATTAACCACCACACCTACAGCAGGTCAACTTTTAGAATGACTCCTAACGCCTTTTCAATTCATGCATGCTGTGATGTGTTTCAGTAGTTTGTTCCTTTCACTGCTGAGTTGTGGCCCATCATGTGAGGATACGACATGTGTGTGTCATTATCCGTTATGAGAGACACTGGGTGTGTTCCCACTTTCCCCACAGCTGTGTGTAACACTGCTTTTAGTGTGAATGTCTAAAATTGTGACTGCGTTCAGCCTTTCACTATTAGGAATGATGGTCGTTGTAGTTTATTTCATGTATGTCCTTTATCAGGCTGAGGAAGTCCACCTCTATCCTTGTTTTACCTAGAACTTTTTAAATGATTCATGAATATTGAACTCTGGTCAATGCCTTTTCTGTTTAAGGATATGAGCATGCTATTTTTAAAAGTCTCTGTGTGGATTTTAGGTATCAACTAAGTATTTGGAGATGACATGAAATTAAAGTTAGCAAACTTCTGCTTAAGTGGATTGCTTTCAATAATGCAGGTGGGTATCATCCAATCAGTTGATTAGCATTTTAGTTCCTTTTCTATGGCTGTGACAAGAACATCATGACCAAGGCAACTTATAAAAGACAGTTCTTAATTGAGTTTATGATTTCAGAGGGTCAGTGTCCATGATGGTGGGGTGAAGGCATAGTGGCAGGAACAGCCATGAACTGACATCTCAAACCACAAGCAGGGATCAGAGAGCATACTGGAAATGATAAGGGTTTTTTTGACTGTGCCCAATGACACAAGATTTTGATAAGGCCATACCTCCTACTCCATCCACAGTTCCACCAATTGGAGACCAAATGTTCAAACACATGAGCCTATGGTGTGTGTGTGTGTGTGTGTGTGTGTGTGTGTGTGTGATAAATCTCATTCAAACCAACATGATTAGTTTCCCTGATTGAGAGGAAATCTGGCAACTGCCCACAGGCTTCTGGACTCTCCTTGCTCTCACCTGTTGGCCTTTGGGCTAGAAGAATATACCTTTAGCTCTGTGTCTTGAGCCATATGGTAGAGTTGGACTCACAAGCCAATGTCTTATAGTAAATATCTTTATCCATATTACACACATTGTATATTATATACTACAAACAGTACAGATAGAATTGTGGTATTACATATAATAAAACGAAACACCTGGTAAACATGCTCATGGCCAAATCAAAACCTTATGCAGCCCTGCTGGGTAAAGCAAGCTCAGATTATCTAATCCTGAGTAAGGTCTCACTAGAGAGCCTCAATGGGCCATCACAGTTCCCCCTTCTTAATAATATAAAGGGTCCCTCAAACCCCTCAGATGACTGTGTATTATCAGCCTCTGGCAAGGAAAAGTACAGAGCTTAACTCCATGCAGCTCTGAATTAGTCCTCCATTAAGAGCTTGCAAGTAGCTGGAATAATCATAGTAATATACCTGTTCATTATGGCTGCTATACCTCCTAGTAAAGGAGTAGAGGATGATAAAGATAGAATGGCCTTTTTGAATGAGTCTAAGATGACTTTAGCAGTCTTAGCTGTAACCAAGCCCTTTTTTAAGTCAAGAAACTCCTAATGCAACTACATCAAACCAGTGAACTCCTGCATCAAATCTAAGGATTCCTTAGCATAACTATTAACATTAACATGTTAACATCATAATTCTAACATAAATATTACTATACATAATTATAATTCCTGCAAACTTACATCCAAAAGCAAACTCTCAATAGAACTATTTACACTTTACAAACTTTAGCAAACATTCTAAAGCAATCTCTTAATAGAACTTTTTGCATTTCTTGCTAACAAAACATAGGGTACATTAACACAGGCTAACATTGATCCATTCAAAAAACAAGAAAAAAATTTTTTAATTAAAGAGACTGAGGAATATTAACTCCCCCTTTTCTTTATAATTTTTCAAGCTTCATCTTGAGCCTGGGTAGAAAAAACAAATTTCTCTATTTCTACAACAAACAGTTCAATTTTCACACAAAACAGTTCACGAGTCACCACGGTTT